CAAATGTGCTTTACACAATTGATGTATGTATGGATTGTGATAAGAGTTGTATGAGCCCCTAATAAAATGATTAAAAAAAAAAAGAATCAGTACAAAGGTTGGAGGCTGGAGGCACATCTTACCTGTGTTTCATAGGAAAAATAAAAAAAATGAAAATAAAAGATTGAGTGGGAAAAAAAAGATTTAGTGGAATGAAGGATATCATTGCTGAATTCAGATGGATCCTGACTCAAAGCAGAAAATGCCAGAAAGATGTTTATTTGTGCTTTAATGACTCTGCCAAGGCCATAACAAACTGTAGATAAACTTGGGAAGAATGGGAATTCCTTAACACTTCATTGTGCTCCTCCGGAATTTGTACATGGATCAAGAGGCAGCTGTGCAAACAGAACAAAGGAATTCTTCATAGTTTAAAATCACATGCAAGTAAAATTTGGGGGTTGTATCCTTTCGCCATAATTTTTCAATCAGAGAAGATGACAAATGTGAAAAAGAATATAGCATCAAGAGAGAGGACAGCACTGAAGCTACAGCTCAACAAGAGGGACTTGTCTAATCAGAGCACACAGGAACCAATGAGGCAGGAAAGGGAAAAAAAAAGAGTGAAGCACATCCTGGCTCACCAAGCCCTGAAGACAGTGTTTCTGCTCGGAACAGCAATGTACAGAGACGACCACAGGGCCAGCCTCACCACGGGACACAGCATTCCTCATTAACCCATAGCACCAGTGGGACAACACTAGAGACTCACGGAGGGAATTGTGCCCGCCCTGAGCTCACTACACCAAAGCCACCCTCTGGGGGCATGTAGCAGAGCAGCAGGGGGAGCAGAGCAATGAAGTCCCCAGGGATAGATGTGGGGCCAGGGCATGGCACCCCATCAGACTCGACTGGAAAGCACTCATGAAGGACAACAAATAGACCCCGAACTATTTATAGGGTTCTTTGTGTTGTTGTTGTAGTTACTGTTTTACTTTCTATTGTTGCTTCATTGTACTCAGTCTGGTGATGGTACATAGCATGTCTACCTGGAAGGGATTGGCGGCATAAACAAGCCGGAAGAGAGAACCATGGGATGACAGTTCCAGGGGAGACATGAGAGAAGGGGAGAAGGCGGAAAGGAAGTGGGTGTTAACAAACCCAGGGACAAGGGAACAACAAGTGATCCAAAATCAGTGGCAAGGAGGGTGTAAGAGGCCTTGCAGGGCTGGATCAAGGGCAGTGTAACCAAGAGGAATACCTAAAACCCAAATGAAGGCTGAACATGATAGTGGGACAAGAGGAAAGTACAAAGAAATAGAGGAAAGAACTAGGAGGCAAAGGGTAGTTATAGAGATCTAAATACAGGCATATACAGAAGTAAATATATTTATATACGAGGGGGAAATAGATCTATGTACATATATTTATAGGTTTAATATTAAGGAAACAGATGGACAGTGGGCCCCTGCTCAAGTACTCCCTTAACACAAGAACACGTTGTTCTAACAATTCAGCAGTCTGAGATGCTCATCTTCCCGGCACGATCGCTGAAGACAACGGGTGCACAAGCAAATGTGGTGAAGAAAGCTGATGGTGCCCGGTTACCAAAAGATATAGCATCTGAAGTCTTAAAGGCCTGAAGATAAACAAGTGGCCACCTATCTGAGAAACAACAAAACCCACATGGAAGAAGCACACCAGCCTGTCCCGACTCGATTACTGAGGACAAAGGGGGTTGTTCATAAGTAAATGCGGTGAAGAAAGCTGATGGTTTCCAGCTGTCAAAAGATATAGAATCTGGGGTCCTATAGGCTGGAAGATAAACAAGGGGCCATCTAACTGAGAAACAACAAAGCCCACGTGGAAGAAGCATACCAGCCTGTGAGATCACAAGGTGTCGAAGGGATCAGATATCAGGTATCAAAGATTTAAAAAAAAATCATAGCATTGTGAATGAGGGGAAGTGCAGAGTAGAGACCCTGGGCCCATCTGTGGGAAATTGGACATCCCCTTGCAGAATGGCTGGAGGGAGGAGATAAGTCAGTCAGGGTGCAGTGTAGCAATGATGAAACATACAATTTTCCTCTAGTTCTTGAATGCTTCCTCCCCCCCACTATCATGATCCCAATTCTACCTTACAAATCCAGCTAGACCAGAAGAGGTACACTGGTACAGATAGGAACTGGAAACACAGGGAATCCAGGACAGATGAACACCTCAGGACCAGTGGTGAGAGTAGCAATACCAGGAAGGTGGAGGGAAGGTGAGAGAGAAAGGGGGAACAGATTACAAGGATCTACATATAACCTCCTCCCTGGGGGACGGACAGCAGAGAAGTGGGTGAAGGGAGACATTGGATGGTGTAAGATATGACAAAATAATAATAATTTACAAATTATCAAGGGTTCATGGGGGAGGGGGGAACGGGGAGGGAAGGGAAAAATGAGGAGCTGATACCAATGGCTGAAGTAGAAAGCAAACGTTTTGAGAATGAGGATGGCAACATATGTACAAATGTGCTTGACACAATGGATGGATGTATGGGTTGTGATAAGAGTTGTACGAGCCCCCAATAAAATGATTTTTAAAATAAATAAATAAAAATATACAAAAGATTGGAGGAAGTCTTATTAACAAATTGTGATATGCAGGTGCCACAACCTTGCCTGCTTAAAGTGAGGAGGACGTGAAGCATTTGTGGATGAAGATCAAAGATTGTAGCCTTCAGTATGAATTACAGCTCAATGTCAAGAAGACCCAAATCCTCACACTGGACCAATGGGTAGCAGCATCATGAAAAATGGAGAAAAGATTGAAGTTGTCAGCATTTTGTCTTGTTTAGATCCACAATCAATTCTCATGGAAGCAGCAGTCAAGAGATCAAAAGATGCATTGTATTAGATAAGTCTGCTGCACAAGACCTCTTTAGATACTGGAAACCAAGGATGGTTCTTTGAGGACTAAGGTGAGCCTGACTGTGTTAGGTCGGGTTGACTAGAAAAGCAAATTCAGGGACACTCATCTTTGTGTAAGAAAGGGCTTTGGTCTTTTTGACTAAACCCTCTTTTGTGATGTGCTCAATAAACCAGACTTAACTCTGGAAAAAAAAAAAAAAAGAAAGAGCTTTACATCAAGTAGTAATTATACATGGAGAAAACAGCCCAGCTCAGTGCAACTCAAGTCCACAAGTCCCTCTTCAGACTCACACAGCCACATGCAAGGATGCAAAATGCAGGAAGATTACAGGCCAGTGGGAGAAAAGTCTTGTGGCTCCAATGACTGGAAATATCATAGGGCTCTCACAGGTCTCCACGTGGCTGGTCAACACGAAGGTGAAAGCAAAGGGAGTGAGGTTCCCAGGACCTTCCTTATGAGAAGGTCACCCCTACAAGGAGGCACCAACAGTCGATGACCTGATTGACAGGCTAGACTCCACTTTTATATCTTCAATTTGACCTGAAATTATATAACTACCACACTGACTCAAGCCATGGTGTTTTCTACTGCCTCATATGCATGTGAAAGTTGGATATTCAATAAGGAAGACTAAGAATTGATGCGTTTGAATTGTGGTGCTGGGGGAAATATTGAAATTATGATGGACTGCTAAAAGGGCAAATCC